AGCATGCTTGATAAACTCACTGTGGAACCTAAGGGGTAATCCTCTGCATTGTGTAGAAGTGGCGTTTAATCCTGACTTCTCTGATCCTCCCCTTCTTCCAGTGCCCCCCTCTTATCTCCTGATAAGACATATCATATGAAGACACTCTGCACATGCTCAGTTTGGTGTGTATTGCTAGAGAGGTTTGTTTTTTTTGTTTTCTTGGGAGAGTGCATGTGATCAGCACAGGGCCAATCAGCACTGTCCAGGAAGAGGCAAGGAGCCCTGCATCCTCCTAGAGCAGAAACAAAACTCCACCAACAAGCTTTAACCAGTGCTCTGCTGGACACTGATAGCAGTCAAGGGACTGCTCTAACTACTGACGGTATTTAGCAGTGTATATTGTGGGAGACCAGATATAGTGAATGCAGGGACCTGGGTTTAGTAACACTTTAAGTTAATCTCGAAAACAAAGCGATGGTAGCGCACTGAGAGGAAGGGAACCAGTGACAAAATGGTTAAATAGTAAAATCATTAGTTATAAAAAGAATAGGACTAATCAAAAATGCTCTGAACGAGTCCAGTATATAGTCCATGTAGTAAAGTCCAACTAAACTGTTCAGTGGCTGCCAGCTGGAGGAGTAAGAAGCAACTCTGGAAGCACATAGGCTGCTGACGGCCTGATGAAGGAACACGCATGTTCAGTACGCGTGGCACGCCTCCTGTCGCAACTTCTGGAATCTACGTCACAGCTGTCTGTGAAGTGTATCCATGCCAGCCAGGGATCCCTGAAAACCAACAGGGCAATCAAGGCTGAGCACCATCACAGACAGATAGCAGGGATATTGATTGACACAAGTTATATCTATGTGAATTGCCAGTTTTTGTGCATTACTACACTCAGATGGAGCTGCTTGTTTCTTTTTCTTTAAGTTCATCCTATATCTTTTTCTGTAATATCGATGTACAACCTTTGCTTTACAAATAAACATTTAATTCTCAGAGCATCATGGGTTAGTTAAAGAAACAGCAAAACAGAAGCTGCCTTTTTTCAGGTTCAGACTGTCTGAATGAAACTTTGAAGGAAGCCATGCAATAAAGGATGAGTCACTACAATGAGTCATTCACTTGTATGTGTAAATCTTAGGTTGAGCTATTGAGCTGTGTAAACAATGGGCTTTTTACCTTAGCCTGGGTTCACACATATGTGGTGCGGTATTTTGCATGTGCTTTGCACAGGAACCGCACTGTATTCCTGTGCAAATTATATGCGATTTGTGTGCGGTACAATTGGAGCCATACATTTGTATGGTTCAAATCACACTGCATCTGCACCAAAAAGGTGCAGGACCCTTTTTTTGGTCCACACTAGAATCAGATCGCATGGGTATTCACATCCATGTGATGTGATTCTGCACATCACACCGCGTTTTTGTGGACCGATTTCGAGGTGTTGTTAACATACACACTCGCAGCGGTTTGCATGAACGGAGTACGATTCTGATGCGGTGCGGAATTGGCATAGAAAATGCTGCAAATTCCGCACCACATCAATGTGAACCCAGGCTATATGTAGAATTCCAGGCTAAACCTAACTAGTCTTAAAAAGTCTTGCACCTCCCCAACACCTGTGATAACTAACCTGTGCAAGAAAGATGTATATACTTACCCATTTTCAGCCCACTCTGGTCCAGTTACAAGCTACTGCTCCCCTGTGTCAGTCAGTGGGGGGACTACAGGAGAGAGGAGGGAGCACTGGCAATGTATGGGCAATAGCACCTATGGCTATCGTTACTGCTCCAAGCAGTGCCAGCCATTTGGAACCAGGTTTGTTGTTTTTGCTTCAGGATTACCCTTGTTTGGGACGAGGAGAGGGGCTTTGGAAGTGGACGCTCACCCAAGACCTTATTCTGACCTTTGTGTGGGTACTGTTGCCCAGCATCACCATTCATGATGACATGTGAGTTTGCGGAGAATACTAGGTGTATTATGTTATGTAACACTGTACTTATTTGATTAATGATCTATATGTATACACATCTTCCAGTTAGGGCATCTGATTTATCCTGAAGAAGCTACTAAGTGTAATGTGTCGACCTCTGGAGGATATTGATGCCACAGAACAATATACTGTGATCCTTTTGGGCTCACTAGCCAAGTACTGTTTTTGTACAATATGTTTGGAAGATGTATTTCAATAAACATGTTTTATGTATAACATGAGGTTGTCCGCTTTATGTACCAGTAACGTCCCATCAGGTTTGTTTCTTTCCATGCCAGACATTGTTGAGCATTCCTTCCTCTCCCCTGCAGCTATCACTGGCTGGCACAGAGGATCACATGCCGAACTGGATCTGGCTTAATATAGGTATATACATCTTAGTTTTGATCTGAATGGCTGCCCTTCTGCATTGTGAACACAGGAGGTTGCCCATTCTGTATGGGCACCATTTAGGAAAGGGAACAGTTTGCACTTTCCTGAATGAATACAAAAGGGTTCTCTGATTGAACAGAGTGGTGGTGGAAAGTGGGGAGGTGAGGCAGTGACATCATGATCACACTTCATCCAATCAAAGAACACTTTGCATTCATTAACAAAAATGGAAACGTTATCTAAATGGTGTCTGTGCTGAGCGAATGACATCCTATGTTCAGTAAGCAATAGTGCATCTGCCCAGCACAGGAACCCAGAAGCTAGCAGCAATCACTGTAGTAGTGATGCTTACTATAGTGATTTCCAGCTTCAAGTCAGATCCTACAGGTGTGAGATGGGGAAACAGCTCTCATTGTTTGAACACTGTTTGTGTGGAAGTAAATTAATGTTTTGACTGACATTTTGCGGTTTAGCCACAAGTTGCCACTGTTTTTCTAACACAGCCTCAGACTGCATAGATATTTGTATATTCATGAAGAGGTGGGGTTTTGCACACAGAGTTGGAGAGAACAGGAAGGAGAGAGAGAAGCCATGTTTTGGAGCATGGTGAATAAGGGGCCATGTGAGCTGAGAATCTGATGACATCCAGGTGTGAAAGCGTCCCTCAGTAACCAGAGATTGCTGCCAGGAATGCTGATGAGATTGCTGCTAGGAAAGCTGATGAGAGCAGAGGAACTAAGCAACATATACGACAAGACCACATGCTTGCTGGAGAGACATTTGTTCTGTTCAGAGTCACCAGCGGATGAAAATCAGACCCGGGTCGGTAAGATCGTGCACGCACCTCATTTCAGTGTTGGTGCCTTGAGACTGGGTCCAGGCCTATAGTTAGTTAGTTAGGGTCTCTGTTTGTGTCAGGCCACAAGTGTTGTTACTGATTATTGGAAGGACTCCACAACTTAAAGTGACATTTCACATTGGAGAGCTGATAAAATCCTACATACTCAAGCCAGACTGGCGTTTAGCTCAGAAGGAATACTCAGGCACGTGCTACAGGACCAGTTATGGGAGGGGGAATACTGTAGATTTGTGTAAGATTGTAAGCTATTGTGCTGCACCGCAGGCTAGCCCATACACTGATTCCTGCTCTTTTAGGGTAATAACAGGTAAGGTGTGGCAGCTTATTTGTGCCCGCCAGTAGGTAAATTACTTCACTTTCTACCTTCAGCCATCAGAAGGCGCCGTGCTGTGCAGCACAAGAGTCTCAGCCTTTGGGCTGGGTGTATGTAAATGTATTGTATGTTTCCAGCATTTGTGGTTGTGCTTATTTGCCACATCTAAGTAAAATTCTGTTGTGGCAAAAGCTGGTGTTGGGGTTGCTTTCCTCGTTCGTGACTTCACTGTATCCTGAGGAGCCGAATCCGGTACACAGCTTACACAGGTATGGTGCATAAATACTTACTTTGGTCCAAGCTTGTAAAACTTGCCATACCTGGAATCCAGCTTTAAATAATTAATAGCTATTATGCTCATGTAGAAAAATATAAACTAAAGTAGCTTTTATATACAGCTAAACTATATAATTTGCACACTGGACATTTTTACAGCTGCTTTTTTTTGGCTTTTGACATTTTTTTCTACAGCCAGTAAACTCCTCAGCATGCTCTCCTATGTGTTCATGCACACATAGACTGTAATCAACGTTTTTTGGCTGGAAAAAAACCCCAGGACTGGTGAGTTTCTAGAGGAGTTTTTTTAGCTATAAAAACGCTCTAATGCTGAAAAACGCAGTAAATTGGACTAAAAAAAAAACTCTAAAAAACGCAAACGTGAAAAAATGCCACTAAATGCTAATATCAAAAGTGCTACAAAATGCTGAAAAACTCATGTTTTTAACATGACTTTACACAGCTTTGATGAAGTCAGAAGTGACGAAACACTTCAGAACATAATGTCGGACATAAACCGGAAGTTGCAGAGTGGACCATTTGGAGAAGGTTTTACACACCATGCTTTCTTTTATAAATGAATACATACTGAGATACAAGAATTTTGTTTGTAAGCACAATTTTAGCTAAATAAATGGTCGAATTTCTACTATTGCCTACTACACTATACTACTTTGTTCTGATATATTATGATGCCATTGGAGATCATATATATTCTGAAATGAGAAGAACGTATATCTATTCAATGCTGGTTGATTCTTACCGTCTGGTTTATTTGAATAAGAAGAATTCTTACACTTTGGAGGAAGAATATTAAAGAAGAAAATGATCCTATCCACGGTTTCTAGGACATTTGTACATTTAGACGCTAAAAGACTTGGACTATATATTTACACAGCTAACGTTACCAGCGTTATTAAAACGTCCAGTGTGCATGGAGTCGAAAGAAAGAAAAAGAAGCCGATGGTTCAGAGTGCAGCCAGCCTGGAGAAAACACAAGTATATCGGGTCTGAACAGGGATGAGGTTTAGTGCCTTGCATCCCCCTTACTGCTTCTATATTTGTCACACGTAGATATAATCTTATCGGTTTTGAGCTGTTGATCTATGTAAGAGAATGAAAACAGGAAGGAAACAGCTAGAGTTTGTACATCAAGCAAGTTTCTTTCTTAGTAACAGTGACTTAACACAAAGACAAAATCCAGCACAGACATGGCAGCTAAACAAGATGAGGCATCTAACAAGTCCAGCAGCTCTAAGATCCGAGCGGTGGCACATGTTTTGGCCACATACCATTTGGTGAGTCACAAACTGTAATTGTCTTAAGCTTTAAGTCTTAGGAAACAGACTTCTCAACAGTCATATGTGCAAACAATACAAAGATGCACCAAGTAAGAATATTTTACAGTCAGGAGGCTAGAAAAACTCCATGGAAGAATGATAGAAGTAGTAGAAGTTGCAAATCTTCATTCTTCAGAAGACATTTGGACGTGGAGCATCCTCTCAAGTTTGTACCTGGAAGACTTGTATTTTTGTTGGTTTTTTTTTCAAGCAACAATAATTAGGCAGTAGGTGTGCTTTCACTACATAGTTATGTAAAAGGGTATTTGATATGTTGTCTACACAGACGGATGCATCATTTACTCTAAAAACCAAACTTGTGCCTAAACACCATTTCAGTAACTGACTTGTATAAAAAAGAAAGTTCTGAATTATTTATGAAGTATTTTGCTTTAGGCATCGTGCACAGAGGCAGAAAAAAAGCCATTTTTCATTTTTTTATGCCTTTGATTGCAGCTCTGTTTCAGTCAATGTGCCCATGTACATTGTGGCATTTAGTTTCCTATTTTAGAGCAACATTCAGAGGCGTAAAAAAGAATAGCCCAAAACTGCATTCTCGAAGGAGCTGATTGGCATAATTTATGCACATATGCTCATAATTGCACATGTATGCATGTAAGTTATTTCCATTGGCCAGAATAATTGAATATTCTACCCAATGGAATAAGAATACATGCATATGTCTCTACACAATGTACGCTATACACCTATAAATGCGCATAAATGCCAATAATTACATGCCCAAATTAGCACTTTTTATGCTGGATTTTTCTATCAGCTCCTGACAGAAAGATCCAGCATCAATAGGAGTTTTTTAATAAGCCCACGTGTATTAAACCTTGTCCATGGTTTGCTGCTATCTACAATGTCAAGTCAGAAAGAGGTGATAACTAATAGCAAAGAGCAACTATCATGACAAATATTGTATTCTGATAATTTTACAAAGTTTTGGGCTCAATATCTTGTGATAAAATTCAGTATATGAATTATTATTTATTTCTCATATTTTTAATTATAAATGTCTTAACAGTTAGATGCAGACCAAGCTGTCCGGCCAAAGGTATTGAGACACTGCAGGAGTACCTGAAATGTTTGGCAACATTTTTTTTTTTTTTAAGAAGCCTTAAACTATGTGAAAAAGTGACCTTTAGAAGCTCCCCTTGCAGTGTGATAGATTATCTGAAAAACCTGTCAATGTCACTTTTGCTACATATCTTGGTTTGCATTAGAATGTGCAATTAAAGGCATGTAAATAAAAAAAAGAATATACCAGATCATTACTATTTATCGGACTGAAATGATTAACGCAATAGCAGCCCTTTACGTTACAGCACAGAATTTACTTGTCCGCTTAAAACAGTTACTACTATGCAACTAAGCAGCAGATACACTTTTTTAGATATTCCCATTGATAACTGCAATGAATAATTTATTTATTATAGTAAGCACATCTATAGATGACCATGAGCAGACTTTTTCTATTGGTGTATCTAGTCAAGATCTGAGCACTTCTTGAAATAATCCATTATGTTTGGTAAGCAATTAATTAAGCATTTTTTGTGTAAGACATACGTGAACCTTAATCTTAAAAAATAAAAATCCAAAAATGAGGGAAAGCTTATGTTATGAGACCTGGGACCAATGAGGTTGTGTGTGTAATTGGCAGTCAATCGGAAAGAAGGACTGATATTTTTACTGCAGTGAAATTCAAAAAACTAAAATAAAAGTCTTTTGGTGGAAGGTCACCTAGTATCCTCAGCTTGATGGTCACATCATTATCATCTAAGACAGTCACCTTTGAAAAAGGATGACCGGTTATGACACAAGTTCTGAAAGATTATTGGGTATGAATGCACAATTGTCTAAAAGTGCATGTCTAGATTGTGGTACCAATACCAAGGGGGGGAATACGAAAATTGGAGCACACAGAATCTGGTGCAGCTGTGCATGGTAGTCAATCAGCTTCTAACTTCAGCTTGTTAAATTAAGCTTTGACAATAAACCTGGAAGCTGGTTGGTTTCTATGCAGATATTGTTACAGTTAGCAAGCGTATCAAGGTTTTTCCTAATCAGAAGCCCTGGATGACCAAGAGAGTACGTTGTCTTTTGAGAGAATGGGATCGTGCCTTTAGGAATGGGGATAAGGTTAAGTATAGTGTTGCTAGAGTGAATCTAAAGAGGGCATACTGTAAAAGAGGCCAAATTAGTTTATAAAAATAAAATTTAAGAATACTTCAGAGGTTATGATGCATGGGAAGGTTGGAAAGAGATAGAGTATTTCCTAATCCACAGAGAGAACACTCACCAGGGTGCAAATTTTAATATCCAACTGGAATTAAACAGCTTTTTCTCACACTTTGCCAGTACCCTGGCACACACACTTTTTAAGTTTGCCCATGGGTGATGCCGCACCTGTGCGCCAGGCATCAAGTCCGTCAACATCAGTAAATTGGCGATTCCAGATGGGATCCCAGGGAGGGTTGTTAAGACCTGTGCCCACCAACTTGCAGAGGTCTTTACTAATATATTTAACCAATCATTATCATTGGCTGTGGTTCCAACCTGCCTAAAATTTACTATGATTACTCCCATAACAAAAAAGCAACCATAGATAGCTTGAAGGACTATAGGCTGATTGCGCTTACCCAGGAATAATGAAGTGCTTTGAGGGATTGGTGTTAAAAGGTATTAAAACAGCTTTGCCAGTTAGTTTTGACCCTTACCAATTTGCGTACAGAGCCAATAGAAGCACTGAGGATGCTATAGCTCTTGTATTACTTGTGACTTTAGGTCATCTGGAACACTCTGGCAATGACATAAGAATGTTGTTCATTGACTATAGTTCATTGCCCCAGATCTATTGGTGGAGAAGATGCTGAAGCTGAATATGCCCCCTTCCCTTTGCTCTTGGATAAAGGATTTCCTGGTATAGATCGCCCACAGGTTGTTAAACTGGGTAAGCATGTTTCATCCCAGCATGTGGTCAGCATAGGCCTACCACAAGGTTGTGTATTGTGCCCCCTTCGTTACTCTCTATAAATTTGTGATTGTATTCTCTGCCTTTCTACAAATAGTATCATCAAATTCGCAGATGATACCACCATAGTAGGTTGCATCACAAGAGGTGATAAGAAGCATTACAGGGAAGAGGTAGAGTAGTAGAGTGGTGTGAGGTAAACAATTTGTTCCTCAAACACTGGGAAGACCAAGGAATTTAATAATTGATTTAGGAAGAGCAAGACTGACCTGGTTCCACTCTACATCAGAGGTGAATTTATAGAGCGGGGTATCTTCTTTTAAGTTTCTAGGTATTACTATTTCAGAAAATGTATCCTGGTCATTGAATGTGACAGCTGTTGCCAAGAAGTGTCAGCAATGTATATATTTCCTGAGACTTCTCACAAAACTTGCCTAGGGAAAAACATTTTAGAGTCCCTGTACTGCTCTTACTATCGATACTGTAATACTGTAATATAGCATGGTATTCCAACTGCACACTGGAGGAGAAGGCTGCTCTTCAGAAAATAATAAAAGCTGCGCATAAGGTTGTGGGCTGTAGGTTAGTTTCTTTAAATTAAATTTACAAGTCCCGTTGTGTCGGCAGAGCAGGCAAAATAGTAGGTGATCCGTCCTACCCTGGAAACTATCTTTTTGAACTACTGCAATCTGGTAGGATGTTCAGAAACATAAAGGTGAGGACAAACTGATTCATGGAAACTTTCTTTCCAAGAGCTATCAGGGCCCTAAATGGTCATCTTGAATAAAATTATCTAGCTCCAAGTCACTTGGCTTGTTGTTGTGGCAGAGGTTCCTTTTAGATTTTAATTGGGGGGGCGTAATGTTTGTATGTGTGTATGTTGAGGTTGTTATATGTTTCACATGTGTGGAGTTTTTTTAATTGAATTTCATTGTAATTTGTGTTGCAACGACAATAAAGTATTTATCTATCTTACCTAGCTGCATCAATTTTCCCACACTGACAAAAACTGGTTGGTGCATCACGCAGATACAACAATGTAGATACTTTGCATGCTTACTAAATAAATACGATTATTGATTTTTGAAGGCTTTTTAATAAATATACTTAATGAGAAACATTTAAAACCAACAAAGCTTTAATGTACCCTGGTCACAATTAATTATCAAAATCTGGAACTTTTGAATGAGCCCAATTCTTAAAATGTAATAAATTCGGTATTTTCTTTGTCACACCTTTGGGTTATTTTAAGATTAAAAATTAATTTTTCAAGTCATAAAAACTAAAAAAACACTGTTGCCCAGATCAACTGAATTCACATATGTACATATGTGACTGTACATGTGTTTCTGTATCAGTTTTTGACGTCTTTTGACTGTAAAAGTAAAATCACAAAGGTTGGTGTGCGGACTACCCCTCCTTAAAATAGTTTCAGGTCAGCCATTACTGTGATCTTCAGTGGGGTATCTATTGAGGAGAACATAAAACAGTTATTTGAAGTTGTGATAGAATAAAGCTTTGTGAGATAAAATAATGAATCACAAAAAAGCTTTCGTTAGTTAAACTTTCATTTCATACAAAATGTAAAGGTTCCACCCATACTCGGCATTTATATTTGTGAATCAAACATTTTAAATAGATAAAAATAAACAAAGAACAGAGAAAAATGATAACTCATCCAATTTAATGATTTGAGTAAGTAATACGGTAACAGACTACAAATAGCAAACAAATAAAAATACCATTATCCAAAATCAAGCAAGGTATTAATGCCCTCCATTTCTATATAGCAAGAGTAGTATGCTTTCAGTTTCCTCAATATTTTATAATTATAGTAACCTGTTCTCAGTTCCATAACTGATGTTAAAAAATACATCTAACACCAGTTAATTACATTTGACAAGGCTCCTGCTGTAGAAGAAACGAATAAAAAAAGTAGAATGTGCTCACTCTGAAAAACACATTGACAAGTTTGTTGCAG